TATATATATATATATATGTGTATATATATATATATATGTGTATATATATATATATGTGTATATATATATATGTGTATATGTGTATATATATGTATGTGTATATATATGTATGTATATGTGTATATATGTGTATATATATATATATATATATATATGTGTATATATATGTATATATATATATATATATGTGTGTTTGTGTGTGTTTGTGTGTGTATGTATATATACTAAAATAAACTACTACTTAATACTTGTATTACTATTCCTACTTCACAGTTTTTTTCACTTATCGAGGGGCTTCAGGGTACGGATCCCCCACGATAAACGAGGGACTGCTGTATATTTGTATACAGTAGTTATATTTGGCTGTGAACCATAGGGGGAATGGTGGTGCAGATGCTCGAGAAGGTGAGCCTGTGATTGAAAGGTCGCCGGTTCAATTCCCCCAACTGGCAATATCAAAATGTGGGTTGGAAAGGTGAAACACCCACACCTGTCTCCATCCTCATTTGCCCTGGTGGAGCAGGGAGGTCTGTGGTTGTGTAAGGAAGGGCATCCGGTGTCAAAACAATTGCCAAGTCTTTGTGCAAATCAGCTGTGGAGACGCCTGAGGAAAGGAACCGCCGAAAGAATATATTTAGCTGTGAACCTTGAATATCGACGAAACGTTAAAGCTAAATTTTAGATGGTTGAACTTTATTGATGCTGTTTTCATTTTAGTTGAGCAGACTGCTCCAAATGAACTAAAATATATTATTAATATGAGTTATAATAACATAGCTGGCTGTGCTTTAATCTGAGAACACTGTAACAGTTCTTTTTTAATAACTTCATTATAAATATTGATTAAAGTGAATGGCTTTCTCTCACACTCAGCATGGTCCTTGAACCAATGCACGAGCATATAAAGCAGGTGAAATACCACAGCAGGAACTGTAAGTACGCCCCAGGTGCATAATGTGCTTTTTAACAACACAACAAGTGATTGACAGGAAGAAAAATATTTAAGACGGGACATTGTTTGAGACCTTTTCATTCTAGAGAAAGTAAAGTAATTTCTATGACCATGGCAATCGAATAATGTAGTATATTTCAGGAATAAGCATTATGTCCAAGGCAACTCCATATATCGGCGTTGTACTATTATTGTAATAAGATTCTGCTTGAATGTTCAAATCAATAACAATTTTTCATGTTGCAGCCATGCGTGCAGCTCCTGCTTATGATGCACCGAGCGTTCAATTCAAGCTGAAGGTTTTGTGGGAATTGAAGTTCTTAGGTTAGGAGAGCACAGTAAGACTTAATACCAGTTTGCTTAATTTAAATTTTAAAAAGTGTGTTATTTTCCAATTATGTGACTGGCTTGCATTTTAAATGGTCATTTAATGGATTAGAAAAGGAAGGAATAAAGTGCTCCTTTTTATTTGTTTTATGTAAGAATGCTTTGGATTCATTTGGAGCATTCATTTAGCGAAAAAGGTCACAGGATTAAAGAGTTGCTGGGCAATGTGGGTGGGTGATGAATGAGGCATGCAAAGCGTGCTCATTGGGAGATGTCAAGAGAGTTCAGTTTGATTCAACGCGACAACCCGATGAGCTCCTGCACACTCGGACACTGCACAAGAAAGACGACACATCTTCACTCAGTCAAAGATGGTGCTTTCACCATCTTTCTTTTAAATAGTTAGCATTTTATCAATTATCCAACTGGTCCATTTTTCCTTTGGTGATTAATTTAATTCGCTCACTCTTTTTATGTCCAACGTTACCTGGAGACGTTCTTTTTGTAGGTAGTGGAAGGTCCTACCGGGAATGAAACAGCACAATCACAAGGAGACAGAAGGCAATTGTAACATTGTGCCTTTAACGTTGAAACCTAGGGGAAACCTTGGTGAGGAAAATTGGTTTTTATTCCGTCAAATATATTTCTATTCAGATGGGATCAAACGTTGTTTTGTCTTTTTTTGGTCTGGTTAACAAGAGGAATAAATATGTTTAGAAGCATCTGTAAGTGTAGTTCCACTTTTGTTAGAATGGTTTGTTTGTGGTAGTAGCTACGGCATAAAAGAGAAAGTGCTTAAATGTTAAGGTTGCTGGTTTGATCACAGATCTAATCAGTTTGTGTGTTAGACATGTTCTTTAGATCAGGTTAGTGTTTAATATGATGTAATTTTACAATTAAATCAGCTAAAACAACACATTTAGAAAAAAAAGAGGAAAATATTGCCAACAAAGTCAAAATATTACATACTGTATAATTATGTTCCACAAAGGCATTTGAATTAAATATCAGTTATACAGTATATATAT